CTTTGCATCTCATAAAGAAGTGTTGAAGGTTTTTTATCGCCTAACTCAATACTTGAAAGCAATATTTTTAATGTAATGATGATTAAGAATCAGCATTTTGAGCAATTAACCTAGATTTTATTCGAGCATAAGCTTCTCTATCAGGTTTATTAAGTACAATATCTGAAATGCAAGTTAAACCATCACTAAGGGTGAGTAGTCAAATCTTTCAACAAAAAAAGCAAATTTTAAACTCTTTTTAAGCACTTAAAAATATTTTTAAGCATAATATACATGAACAAAATGCAAAATAATTTTCAAAGGCTTTACATGATCGGGATAAAATAGTTTCTGAAAAAGAACTCTTTTCCTGATTATATTAGCCATTATAAAATGATCAAGAAATTTTTCGGTTCGATATTAGAGGTTGGAAAATGAAGCCTGAAATTGAGAATATCTAGAAAAATGCAGCAGAGTTGCACATGATAAAGCAATAATCTCACCGAATCCAGCTCAGCAGCCGCACATGCGGATTCGCAAGTATTTCATCAAACATGTAAAATGATTGGCGCTTTCATATGCAATGGACCAACGGTCAGGGTTGCAAAAAATCCACCTACCTAGAAAAACCCGGGCGGGTTTTACTGGGCAAAAGCCACTCTGAAAAACCCAGTAAAACCCACCCCAGGGTGGGTTTTTCTAAAGTTGATTTCTTTTTTTATCCTCTGTTATGTTAAAGAGCTATTCTATTGAAATATATATGTGGTCTAGCCTAAAAAACTATGGTGAAAATACTAACAACTATCTGAAAAAAAAAATTTTTGTTGAATTTATGAAGAAAAATGTATAGGTTACATATAAAAAACGGAATAAATTGAGTATAAATTATACTACAATAAAAGTTATTGCATTAGGTTTTTTATTCAAAATAAACGCAGACAGAGGAAATATATTATAAATCAATCAGGTAATCAGTGTTATAATTCTTCAATCTTACATGTCTATGTATTTTAACTAATTTTAACACTTTTTGTACACCCAGTCTATTTCTCAATTTTGACCAAACCAGTCCACAAGTAGAAAACACTCGTTCCAATAATGCAGAGCTAGCTGGACAATTGCTTAGGGCAACCATAAAGTTGCAAAAATCTGTTATATCTCTATCATTAGTACGCATTTCAACCAATTTCCACCACTGTGATGCACTGAATTTTTTTATTACATCAGCATTAAACTTGGAGGAAATATTTCCGTGTCTTTTAATTTGTAGCTCATGAGGGGAATCAACCATTTTGGGTGTTCTGTTTCTAACCACTTTTCAGCTTTTTGTAACATATCAGAGGTTAATCTTTTTCCTGTATATTTAGGATCCATAATGTTTGCTAAATAATGAATTGGGAGAAGAGCTTGGTTCAGCCTTTTATCAATTTGTTTTTTATAAGCGCAAAGATTTTCACTATTAAATACATCAAGCCAAAGCTCAACAGCAGTAGATATATTGGTTTTTTCTGCCTGCATCAGATTTAATACTTCGCTCAGTTCTGATAATTGTTTTTGCATGTGCAATGCTTCTTTATATATTGCAACATTGTCCAAAATCCGTATAATGTTTGTTGGAATTTCTACTACGGCTTCAGTAGATATTTCTACAAACTTATGGTGCGAGTAGGGCCAGAGTAACCTGATCTCATAGCTGTCACCATTTCCTTAATTTCCATAGTCATGGCAGCATTGAAAGCAATATTATTTACATAATAGAATTTTACAATTTTCAAATCCAAATTATTCTTTTGACTATCTGTTGTGCTTACAGTATAATCATTCATTATACGTTGTCTCTTAGCTCTACTAAATTCACCCACTTCAGTTTCAGGAGGAGTATGTATTCCACTTGTAGACGACTCAACAGCTAACAAATTGTTTACAGTTTACACACGTACATTCTTATGATTGCTCAGAGATCTTTTTAAACACTTATTTAAATAAGCTCTTATTCTTTCAACTTTTGCACTTATTTCTGTGTGACAGTGATTGCATATGCATTTTCCTTTATTCTCAAAGTTTAATTTAGTTACCTCTAACCATTCTGAAGCACTTCTTCTACCACCACCATTAGACATTTTATCACAATCAATTCAAGCACAATCTCACTGCACTAAATTCAACACAAGGACCAAATAAAATTTAGTAACAAGTTTAGTAGAAAACTATCAAGTATCTGGTACAGTAATTTATCTGCTGCTCAAGTACAACTGACAGAATTTCATGTGAAATGGGCATAAACTGGTAACCCCCACTCCTACAGCTAGAAGATGATTCACAAAACTGGTTCCTTTTCAATGGTCAATGGATAAATTTCTACCACCCCTCTATTCTATTCTAAACTAGCAGAAATGAGGTTTTACCCCCTTTCCCCTATAATGAAAAACAGATGTGTGTGAAGAATGACCTTGTGGGATTTTATTTTGTATGATTAATCATTGCCTTTGACCAGTCTCCCTTTTATTATGGAAAACATGTGTTTGGAGACTGGAGAGTCACCTTGCTGGCTATATTTGACTGTATGACCATTGATTAGTCAGNTAAAAAAAAAAAAAAAAAAAAAAAAAAAAAAAAATTCCTCAAATATTTTTTAAGATTAAAATATAAACAAAAAGCAATCCTGTGTTCAAAATAAGTTTCAAATGTGTGATGTATGTGAATGAGTATATATAACATTTTGTATCATGATGTCAGAAGGAACTTTTTCAAACTTTTGCACCAATTTATTACACTTTAATTGCCTATATGTTAAGTCAATTCATTAAATTAAACTTAATTATTAATATAAGCTTTTTTAAAATAAGGTACTTACCCATGCCCTCTCTTTTGAAAGAAAAAAAACAATAAAACATGAAAAACCCAGAAAAGCTCAATAAAACCTAGAAAAGTTTTTGCAACCCTGCCGACGGTACGCCAAAATGGCTAAATTTTTTTATGCCGATCTTACTGTACGCTGATGCTCAATTTTTTTCCCGTATGCTTTTTCTCAATATTGAATGCAAATTAACTTTAACTGTTTCCAAATGAGTGTTTTGAGGAATTATGTATAATTAAAAAGTTTTTTTTATTTCAAAATAAAAACTTCATTTCAGAAATTTATCATAATTATATTTTATTATAGCATATTTCATCAATATCTGTTATCGAACATAGTTCTCTATCCCAAATGTGTAAACTTTACCAAGATTTCCCAGAATTATAATTCTGAACAAGAGCAAGAAATATAATCCTAAACCATAATTAAGAAATTAATAAACTACATGGATTTTCATAACAACTATTTTTATGATTACTTCAAAGTTTACTATAAATCTGAATATGGTTTAGAGGAATATAAATGCATGTTACCACCCAGCACTAGATACCTGGTAAAATTTGCCAATGCCGAGTCTAGCGACTAAAAAACTGTTCTGGGTTGTAAAATTTTTTTACCAGGCTCAGGTAAGAAAAAACTGGCCAAGTATACCAAATACAGGGTAATTTTTGGGTACATAGTACATCCCTAATATTTCTTGTCAAAAAAGGTATAAAGCCTTGAAAGCTAAAGAAATTTGTAAAAGAGAATGATTTGGATTATAATTTTGTTAATGTATACAAGAATTAAAATTTCTTTAAAACTTTTTTTATTTAAATAAGCCAGTATATTATTCAAAAATAATTTTTTACAAATGTTTTTATTAATCTACATTCTTTTACACAAGTGTAAATTAAACCCTCCAACAAATCGGTCTCCTAAAAAGTAGTTAAGTAATGACCATGATTTGGAAGTCGTTAATTATCACTATATTTAAAAACTAGCTATAGTTTTAATTAACTACATTTGTATTAAAGTAGTTGTAGTTAAGTACAAAAAAATTTAGTTTTTACCACTGTATGAGATATTTAAATTTCATGTAATATTTAGTAGCATTTTTCTACTTGTTTGTGCAAAATTTAATTTTTTGTGTGCATATACAAACAATTTCATTTTTAGACATCAAATAGGTAATCAGCAAATGTTAAAGAGATTTGTTTAATGTGAAAAAATAGCTGTGCACATTTCATTCAGCAAAAAAGGAAACACATTTATTTTTTTTAATGAATAACTGCATTGAGAACAAAGAAATCTGCAAACAAAGATATGTTTGTACATTTTATAAAATGAATTCATGTTAGGGAAACTTTTAGAAAGTTAAGATAACTGTTTGTCTGTATTATGATAGATGCCAACTTATAATATTTAAAGTGATGGAAAATAATGCTTAAGATAAGCTTAATTTATTTAATTTTGCCCATGATTATTAAATCTTACACATTTGTTTATATTAATTACTTATAGTAATAGTCAGAGTCACTGTAAATAAATTTATTAAATAAAAAATATGTTAAATGATAAAATTTAATACCATCTAACATTTTAAATATTCAAGAATTTCATGTTAAAACAGGTATATTTTGGGTTAGTAGAATTTTTTTTTTTTAAACCCTTAGTAACTAGCTGCTAGATTTAAAAACATTCTGAACTGTAGAGACTGAATCACCTAAACAAACTCACAGCTTATTTTAATTTTATCAAAAATTAATAAAAAATTCAATTAAAAAATAGTAAATTTAATACAAAAAATTAGAAACCAATATTGAAAGCACTTTACTTAGAATGTATGTTAATTAAAAAAATTCTTATTAATAAATTAGCTATTAAATTTTTATAAAGTACAGTTTATTTATTCGAAGGAAATACTAAATTTTGTGTTATGGGTTATTAATAAATAAAATTTGCAACTAAATTAAATAAGTTAGTATATTATATTTCTGATACCTTTTACACTTTTAGATAGAAATTATGTCAATAACGCTTACATATTTCCTTTAGTTTATCTGAAAAAAACTTTTTCATCAACCTAATATGAAATGCATGAATTTATTATCCTCCTATTATCCTATTTTGAATCTGTGTTTTAATTTAAATCAGCTACCTTAATCAAAAATGCTGAACTTACCATCTATTTCAATATCATCATCTTCTTCACTGGAGTCACTAAAGGGCAATAACATATAAATTAAAACATTTTAAAAGGAAGAAAAGTATGGTACATTTACGAAATAGTGGATAAATTCATAAATGATTTACCTCAATGACTATTTTAACTATGTTAAAGCATTTGGCGAAAGAAATGTTACATAAGTTTCTCAATAATAATAATAAAAAGATTTTAAGCAAATATTTAAACTGCACAAGCACATTATAAGAATCTAACAAATCAATTTGACAAGCCCAAAAGCGGGACAGGGTTATGTCATTCCAAACACAAGGTAACAAAATCAAACAGGGAGACAGACTATATCTTATACACATGTAAAAGATCAAAGACAAAGAAAAAAAATTAAATGATGAGGCCACAGATTGAAGTGCATTGGTTCATAAAAAGGTTTTAATGAGTAGAAATTATAGCCTTTTTATGAAGTATTTTTTAGTGATGAAGTACTGCCAAAAATAAAAAAAACTGATAAGAAAGGTTTCAAAATGTTCAAATGTATATATTACCGCATTTCCCAACAATTTTATCCATTAGTTTTATTATTAAAAAGAATGTTCAAATTTCTATCAAATTTTACAAAATTATGAAATGTAAAGTTTAGTCAATAGGTGAAGAAGGAAAATACACAATTAAAATTCTTCCAAATCCGAAGTATTTTTTAAATTAATATTTCAATAGCCTGAAATGAGCTTTTTTCCTTCAAAGTTCTTAAATGGAACAACATGGTCTCAAATGAAACCTCTCATTAACTTGTCAAGTTCAAAATTATACATCCTTTTATATGTAAACTATATAAAATAAATTTGAGACATGTGCAGAATTATTTTTATTTTTGCAGAGCTTCCTATTAAAAATTACACAAAATTAATTTCCCATACTGAAAATGTTAATTTTGCTTTTTAATTTTAATAATTTATAATCAACCTATTTTCTTCAAATTTCTATTTTCAGATTTAAAATTACTCCTTTAAATCGATATAAAAATTTTTAAACCTAACAATCAAAATTTTTTCATGAAATTAATTATCTTATTAAATTTTATAATTGTGAGCAAAAACATTCGATTCGCTTAAAAAGTTCCCGAGATGCGACGAAATAAGCAAAAAGTAAAATATTCATTTAGGGATCCAAACTCAAAATAAAGTATGTTTATTCCCAGAAAAAAAACGTTTTCAGGTCAGATTTCTTAATTTAAAACATCATCTGCACTAATGAATACATATTTAAGTTCAGGACCTCAAAACATTATGTATGGGATAATCTAGTACAAGATAATCATATCAAAAATTATTCAGTATGATCATTTTCTTGACACTGCACAATCTTATGACAGAAATTCCGGAAACTTTACAGAGTGTTGTAAGTTTTGAGATTCAAAAAGCGGAGAGCAATTTGGGAAAAACGACAATTTGTGAGGCCTAACCTTAACCTTACAATTAATTCCTTTTTTTCCAACCGTTGATAAATAAAATAATAGAAAATAATAAATAACTATAAAAATTTTTTTTGCATTGCTAAACAAATGTTATAATTTTGAGCAAAAAACTTTTGATGTGCTAAAAATGCTCCCAAGATGTGGCAAAATATGAAGAAAGTGAAATTAACATGAAAAAGCTCAAAATGTTGACCTATCTCCTGTCTAATCTATTGGGACCATATTTTCTAGATTGTGGCTACGCCCTTCTTTTAATAGTAAAAAATCAAAATCTGTTGAAAAATGGTATGTTTATTCAAAAAAGTACATTTTTGTGTCTGATTTTGTCACTTAATAATGAATGTCTTAGGCATAAAATTTTACAAAATTCCTAAAATTTCCTATTTGAAAAAATAAGTTTAAAAAGTTTTTTTCAACAGATAAATATCTGCCAAATGATTAACTTTTAAATAGCTAAGCTTAGATAAGTTTAAGCCAAGGATAATTTGTGAATTTTTTTTATTGTTAATATTAAGGCTGACTTTTTTATATTTTAATTTTTGAGGGAGACATATATCCAACCTCTCTCACGTCTACATTGAACATTTAATTAATTGTTAGTACTAATAAATTAGCATATTTAAAGTCATTCATTTGAGCCATTATGATTGGCATTAATTATGAGACAGTTTGATCATTAGAACAAAAGTTAACAGCTTTTAAAACTTGATATCTTGATATATCTTTTTTTTGCTAGCTGCACCTATATTACTTTCATATTTGCTAAAATATACATTAAAACTTACAAGGTTTATTTCATTTATAATTTTCATTTCAACCAAAATTTTCACTAATACAAGTTAGTCCACATTAACCTTGATAATTCTGACTCTACTGCATATTAAAATTCCATTTTTTTCCTTACCTATCAAGTTGGATGTTTCTAGTGTTAATATCAACTTCAATACACCCTCCTTCAACTTCTTCAACTTCAATGCTTACTCCTGTCATATTTTCAGGCCTCCATCTGTTTTTATCAGCCACCCTAATTTTTAACAAAATGATAAACTGTATCATACAATAAAATGGTGCAACTAGAATAGAAATGTATGAAACTTAATTAAAGATACAACAGTTTTACATGATCTTTCAATTCAAAGTATGAATCAATCATCATAAGTGTTTAAAATTATGTTTCCAATGAGCTATAAGCATATTTAAGAAACAAAAAGAGTAATAAATTTGTTTAATTTCCTTTAACTAAACAAGGAACTTCTGTAGCATGTCACACATTTTCAAAAAAGTGGTTTTTACAAACAAATTAAAACAGAAATGAATGGTTAAATTTTTTTTATTGTATTTTTTTTTGTTGTTTAATTTAGTTGTCTTTTTAGTGTGTAAATACCAACCATGGAGTTGGGTGGGGAAACAGCTTATACAACAGTGCAGTAGAAAAACATAAGGAAAATTTAATAAACAATGTAAGCAACAAAAATTAAAAATTGAGATTTTTACATTGGCTTCCTTGTTTTTTAATTGCATAGACGGATATTTGACCTTTCTTAACTCTAAGAATGAAGTACATAACTATTAAGTTGCTTTGGCCCTTTAGAAGAATACTGTGAGCAATACACCTCATATATCCTGTAGTATAAGTTGACTTTTGAAATCTTCAAAATGGCACAAAAATCAGGGGGTTAACTTATATGTTGGTTATAAAGTCAGGCATTCGTTAATCGGGAAATATTCAAGCACCATAAACAATGAGATTGAAATTAATAACTCTGTATCAATTTACTACTTTCAAAAACTATTTTTTAATATGATATATACAATTAACTTTGTTTTTCTCTCATATTCTGTTTACATATAAAGATTTTTTTGAAAAAAATATTACTTTAAATTATGTTTCGTTAAGATACTTTTGAACAAGGATGTTTTAAAAAATATAAAACATTGAAAACTTCTAAAGTATACCATGAACCTACAAATGTAAAGATTCCAGAACATCTTCTGTTTCAGAATGAATAACTTTAGCAGTATTAACAGATAAACATGATTTTGCTCGTCTCACAGCATTTGTTAAAACATTGTAATTTGAGGGCAAATATATCATATCCAGAGAGATCATTTCTTGATATTTGCAACTGTTTCACACGGCAAAACTGAAATCTCATGAAAAAGGAATTTTATAACCTTTTCTGTCCTTTATAAACATAGCTCAGAAAAGAAAAGCATCTGAAGGATATCCAGCTATACTACATGATTTCCTTGGAATTAAAAATACAGAAAAGCCAGAAAAGAAAAGAAAAAAATATTGATGGTATGCAGCATACCGGTTGGGGCCAGCTCAAGGTAGCAAATAAGTTGTAGGGACAAAACAATTAAGGCTTTTTCATTGAAAGTTTGGTTAGTTACTTACTAGTTGTAGTGCATGGGCTGAGAGAACAGGTCTTTTAGTGACTGCACATAATTCACTTTAGAACTTATTTGGCAGTGTGGACTATTCATTCTGCTCGGCCTTTGAATGTGGTAAGTTATATGTCCAGCTCTTTTTTCTCTCATTTGACCGAACCTTATTGGTTAGCATTATAAAATAAGTAGCTTAAGCTGTGGGCAAGGGTGGCACCAGACTCTGCCCGACAAGGGGTCAAGTCTCCCCCGATAGGGAGGCTCAAACAAATAAGTTCAAAATATTTAAATTAAAACGAATTTTGTACTTTACATTTTTTACTCACATCATTTTTTTCAAGTGTGTTTCTAAGAATCTAAAATCACTAATATTGGATACCATAATGTGCAGATTCCTTTTAATGTAAATATAAATAAAAAAAAAATTCTGTTATCGATGTATTTTGTACTGTATGGTGCAATTTACCATACATTGTAAGCGTAAAAATTATTTCTGTAATGAAGAAAAATAGTTGTAGCAGTAACCGCAATTTCAAAAAAATTCTACCCTTCTTACTCTCATAACGCAAAAATTATTCGTTGATGAAATTTGAAATTTCATGCACATTTAACAAAACATTTAAAGAACATTTTGAATTAAAGTGTTTTTTTTATATGCATCGATTGGTTTTTGAATCTTTTGCAAATAAAGTTTTAAGTACATTTTTTGCATCCACGTATTCTATCTACAGATATCATGCCCGTTTTGAACGAACTTCGAAATGGTTATGCCCATAAAATTATAAAATTCGAAATTTTTTAAAATGTTAGATAGCATAATTTTACGGACAAAAAAAAAAGGCTATTTCAATCAGGGAACTCGATGTTAATACATATTATAAATAAATACAAAGAGACCAAGCACGTAGGTATAGTTTTTTCATGGGGAGGGGTGTTTTGTGATTGAGGAATTTATTATCTAGATGAAATATAATTAAACCAGTGACATACATACAAGAAAACTCTTTTTGATTTTCATAAAATAATCTAATACAGAAGTTTTCACGGTAAGCTTCATTTAAGAGCTAAAAATCACAACCAGTGATCTAAATGAAGATCAAAATAAAAACAAGCAATAAATGTCGTTGATCGCTTCTCTTCGATTGGGAAATAAGCGAAATTCAAATAAAAAGAACATTAAAATAAAATCACCGTTATTGTCAAAAATTCACGTATAAAATATCAATAAAAATTCATCAGTTCACTGCGAATTATAATGAGTTTAGGCAACCAAAATAATATATATAAAAGAATTAATTCTTTACGAAGCAGAATACATGGGTAATTTTCAGAAAATACGACACATAGGAATTTTTTTTAAAAATTTTAACCTTTTGGATTGGAATACTATATTTCTTTTTAAAAAAAAATCGTTTATTAAAGTAACTCTAGTTAATACCTTATAGAGAGCAATGTACAATAGTTAACAAGCATTTAGCAGGTTTGCAATTATTCCTTGGCATTCAAGTGCCAGAAAAATTACAATTTATAATTTTAAAGCTTTTACTTCCATGTTCCATTTCATTTTTAATTAGTCTTTGTGTTATTAATCTCAAAACTTTATTAAACAGCTCAGATTGAGAAATATAATTTATATTAATTATTTAGAGAACGCGGGAAAATGACAATGTGTAAAATCATTCCAAAAAGCTAATAATAATGGTGTTAAATAAACTTTACAAAAAATTTTCATTTTATTCTATGATATCAGATTTCAATGGCAGTTACATTAAATTGTCGCATTTAACGAAAATCACTCGTAGATATATAGTACAGTCGCAGAAGTCGGTAAATGAATGTATCTTCGAACAAACTTTTCTTTTTGTTTATTTCAATAATATCCTGTTAAACTACATTATTAAATAGAAGGTGTAAAACTTTAATTATGTAAAAAAAAATTATTAATAAATAAAAAAGATATACAGCACAAGAAAAAAAAATTTGATACAAAGCCTCAAAATATATTTCGTAAATAAATATTGAATGAAAAAATCCGTGTTTCGTAAGGTCACTGACTATCAAATTTGGATTTCAGAGTGATAGTGGGCATTTCAACATTTAAAGAATTACTCATCACACTAAATTACATTTAAATATCAGAGAAACAATGAACTCTTTTAAGTTTGTTGACTTTAAAAAAAAAGTTTTCGTTACTTAATCAGTATAATGCATTATGTGTTTAAATGTTTTATACGCACACACACATATTATATATATATTATAGTTAGGCAGGGTTGAAATATATATATATA